TTTAAATTCTGTATGGCATAAAAAAAACTGTGAGTGCATATGTGCACGTGTACACACACACACACACACACACACACACACACACACACACACACACACACACACGACGTGAGTTGAATATTTAGTAAAAAAAAAGTTAGTTGAGTAATTTGGGCAGAGACTTTGATAGTTTCTGTACTAGTTTCCAGTCACTCTTACATCAGAGGTTTATGTGTTTATAATGAGTTATCATTCTTTTCCACTCACCAGTTCCTGTGGGTCTTGAACTTGGCAATCCCTCACTCACAGTGACATGCAGGTATTTATAACTGGTCAGCATTGTCACATTCCCAAGCATTAAACTGATTCAATGTGGAAGTATACCGTATGTATCTACATGTGCTGGGCAAAGAAGCAGCATATGGGGAGCCTCACAAATGCTATCCCATGAGACACTGGGCCATTGGAATGATTAACACTGAGAAATGATGAGGATATTTTCCTGCTGTGTTATCATCCCCAACTTAGAAATGGACAGCCTTTCATTTTCCTAAAATTAAAACTTGAAAGAACTTGAGAGACCAAAGACTTCCCCACAGTTTAAATAGACTGTTCCCACTGTTGGCACTTGAGTTGTCCTAGTTCTTGGCTGTCACAAGTGAACCTTCCATGAACACTGTGTGCAAGTCTTTTTGTGGATAATACTGTTATTCACTCAGTGAATTTGTGGATCATGCAGTAACTGTAACTATAGATGCATGTTTAACTCTCTAAGGAACTTCAAACTATTCTTTAAAGGAGCCCATACAAAGTGGCTCAGATTATTTTGTTGTCATTGATATTCCTTTCTGTTCTCCTCTGCCCTGCAGCATTTATGTTGGGGAGTGAGAAAGAAGTTGATGGTGGTTTGAATGAAAATGGCCCTCACAGGCTCCTAGGGAGTGGCACTGTTGGGAGGTGTGGCCTTGTGAAAATGACAGAGATAGAGAATGTCACAAAAAAGCTCAAATGGAGAGGCACTAGCCACAGAGAAGGGGCAGAACAAGATAAAAAATGATGGACTTGATTAGATTAGATACAGCTTCCATCAAGGGGATGGGAGGGACCCCCGACGTGAGAGTCTGCCCAGGGTCTCTGGGTTAGACTTTTTATGAGCTCCTGGGCTCATTTCCCTTCATAACTTCCCTTCTTTCTCTCTGATTGGTCTTGTCCTTGCCAGCAAGTTCTGATGGTTTCAACATGTAACTCCCTTGGGATGGAGGGTATAACCCCTGGAGCAAGGGTCAGCTCATCTTAAAACGACCAGTCCCCTTTCATGCTACCATATCTGTCTTATGTGTGTTATGTGAGACATCTATTGGGAAGATGGGACACAAATGTTTCTTCATCCCAGATGGAAACTGACAACAGACCAAGGTAACAATTCTACTGAGGTCTAACTTGGTGAAACATTTAGTTTACTGGATGTACTTACAGGAGCAGGAAGGACCCAAGGCAGTTGTATCATTGAAAAGCCTACCCCAGCTCACAAAATCCTGAAGCCTAGAGCCCTCTGTATGACTTACCATCAGCTTGGTAGGTTACAGACGCTCCTTTAGGTAGCTCCACTAGTTTCTTCTAAGAAGCTCCCCTTGCTTCTATAATCTTTTTTTTTTTTTTGCTTCCAAACCATTTCATTGTTTGTATTAAAAATATTTTTTAATAGTGTATTAATAGAATCCATCTAATGGAGCAGGGCAGGATGGGGCATGTGCTTTTCCCAGCACTTGGGAAGCAGAGGAGGTCAAGGCCTTTCTGAGCTAGATTCTTTTCTTTTTTTCTTTTCACTTTTTTAAATTTATTTTTCTATTATCAGCTTGGTACAGTACAAATTCCCATCCCAATTGTCAAATGTTTCATTGAGGATTGCCCAGTAGTTGAGCAAAACCAAAACTCACTATAAGCCACAGCCATCCTAGGTTCCCCCCTGCTATATAGCCTCCCTGGTTCTGTGGGTTGCGGTTTGATTGTTCTTTGCTTTATATCTAGAATCCACTTATGATTGAGTACATGCCATGTTTACCCTTCTGGGTCTGGGTTACTCACCCAGGATGATATTTTCTAGTTCCATCCATTTGCTTGCAAATTTCATGCTGTCATTGTTTTTCTCTGCTGAGTAGTACTCCATTGTGTATATGTACCACATTTTCTTAATCCATTCTTCAATTGACGGGCATCTAGGTTGTTTCCAGGTTCTGGCTATTACAAACAGTGCTGCTATGAACATAGTTGAGCATGTATCTTTGTGGTATGATTGAGCATTCTTTTTGTATATGCCCAAGAGTGGTATAGCTGGGTCTTGAGGTAGATTGATTCCCAATTTTCTGAGAAACCACCATACTGATTTCCACAGTAGTTAGCATTCCCACCAACAGTGGAGGAGCATTCCCTTTGCTCCATATTCTCTCCAACATTGACTGTTATTAGTGTTTTTGATCATAGCCATCCTGACAGGTGTAAGGTGGTGCTTCTATAATCTTGGGGAGGGGCCTTGTGAATTATGTAAGTTTCAGTTTTCCTAGACATAAATGTACTTCTTGAGTCTTAGGATCCTCCTTTTTAGAATTTCCCTAGTCTTAAAGAGCCTTTCTCTAGGAGGGAATGTTTTAACCTGGAGGAAATTGCTATATAATAATGTGATACTGTCATCATTATATCAATTATATCAATAATATAATTCAGTGTAAGCACTGAATTCCCAGTGCTTCCTGTGAGCCAGGGCAGCACACTACCAATTGAGCTATACCCTCAGTCCTAGAGCTATTTAAGTTTCAATGTAGAGTGTAGTTAATATTGACAGGTCTAACCTCTCAGAGCCCCTTAGGGCCTTTTGTAACTTTGAGGACTACTGAGAAGTCCTGTGATCACAGAGTTCTGAGAATGGAGCAGTGGGGCTCTATTCCTAGTACTGGCCTCTTGGTCTTCAGAGGGTCAGCACACTGGGAATGGTGCAAGTCTACTGAAATCTCAAACCCACCCTAGTGACACACCTCCTCTAACAATGCCAGAGCTCTTAATCCTTCCCCAACAGATCACCAACTGGGGAGCAAGTATCTAAACAAATGGGGCCCATTTTCTTTCAAACACCACAGGCCTTTGCAGATGTATTCAAGGCCAAGATTTTCCAGGAGTCATCAGAACGTGGGGAGAGGCCAAGACAGAGCTCCAGCCCTCACTCAGTGGGAGGCTTAGTCCTACACATACCTTACTTTTAGACTTTTCTTAGTCCCCAGACCTGTGTGGGGAAAATAGATTCTGTCTGAAGCTGCCCAGTTTGTGGTACTTAATTTTTGCAACTGTAAGAACTGAAGACTGAGGTGTTCGGGATTTCTAGCTTGTTGGGTATTTTTATAACATTATCATGTATTTCAGTTACTTTCAGAGAGACTTTTAAGAAATAAGGTTCTGCTTCCTTCCATAGGCTAAACTCACCAGTCTTCTTCATCAGAAAGGTGAAAGCTTATCTTTGGCTATTCTCTCTCATTTTTCCTTTTTATGGGCAATGAAATTCAAGCTTCTGGACCTGACCCTGATGTGGACCTGCCATTAGCCTCCTTTCCTGTGACCCCCTACCTGTAGCCTAACTATTCTCTGTGTAGCTTCTTGGGATGTTAACATCTCTGATCATTGGTATTTATGGTACCTCCACTCTGAAAGGTTCTCTCGTTATCTTCCTCACCAGCTAGCATCTGCTCATCCTTCGTAAGTTGTCCAAGCTTCTCTAGCATCCAGTCACAGACTTTCAAACTGAGTTATTCTTTTTCCTAAACTTGCGTATTTAGTGTATGCATTGGAGGTAAGAGGATGACTTGTGTGTTCTGGGATTGAGCTGAGCTTGGCATGCTTGGTCATTACCCACTGGGCCATCTCTCCAGTCCCTATTCTGTACTTTTAGAAAACACTATGCTTCAGTTCTAGTGTTTTCTGTAAAATACTTAGGTGCTCCCCAATATTCCTGTCTTCTCCATTAGGTTCCAGCTTCTGCAAAAGGAGGGGAGTAACAATTGTCTTTGTGTTCCCAGTGACCAGAGTATTATAATTTCTGGAACAGAAGTACTGGCCATCATTTCCTCCTCTTTACAAGTCTTCTATTGGCTTTTGTTTGCAAACAGAATAAAATTAAATACTGTATTTGGTAGTTGGGGCCTTTCTATATGTCATTTTAGGCTTAACTCATGCCCTTCTTCTTTTTGCCTTATGCTCAGCTATCTCAAATGAGTTTACTAAAAGATGCTGTGTTGGATGTTTATGTTTCAAAATACTCTCTTTCCCTTCCTAGACTACTTCTGCTTTCTGTTTCAGGTCTAGTAAGGGTCTATTTGTCATTTAAAGACCAAGTCAAATGTTGGTTCTTTCAACAGTCTTTCTGACTAATACACTCTTTGGAGGAAGGCTGCTGACTCCTGTGAACTGCCTCTGTGATTTTTATTTGATATTTTTGAATACAGTAAATTTGGAATGTGTAAGTTCTAATAATTTCACTTATTGCAGTTTTTAAAATAATTTAACTCCTCTGAATCCCAGTTTTATTGTCTTTAAAATATGGGCAGCTCTATTCCAAGGATTTCTATTCTGTAGCTAGTTTTTCTCTGTCCCACTAGCCAGCTCCCAAATACTGACATAGAGACTTATATGTAATTATGAAAGGTTGGCTGATAGCTTAGGCTTGTTTCTAACTAGCTCTTACAACTTAACCCATTTCTGTTAATTTACTTTCTGTCTCGTGGCTTTATTACCTTTATTCTCGACTGCCCATGCTGCTTTCCTGATTCCTCCATCTTTGGCTGGTGACTCTCCGCATCTCTGTCCTTCTTCTTCCCAGCGTCTTCTCTGCCCCCCAAATCCTGCCTAGCCATTGGTCATTCATCTTTTTATTAAACCAGTCCAAGTGACAGATCTTCACAGTATACAAAAAGATTATTCCACAACACCATTCCTCTCCTTTCTGTTCTGTTCATTGTTTGTATATCTTCTATTCTTAGGTGGATGCTCTTCGATTGCGTTTGGAAGAAAAGGAGACTATGCTGAATAAAAAAACCAAACAAATTCAAGATATGGCTGAGGAGAAGGGTACACAAGCTGGAGAGATACACGACCTCAAGGACATGTTGGACGTGAAGGAACGGAAGGTCAATGTTCTTCAGAAGAAGGTAAAGCACAGATGTTCTGAGCACAGTGGCCACTTGTGACAATCTTATTCTGAGCACTCTGCCACCTGACCATTAGAACTGCTCTCCTTCTGTTTACATTTTGCAGAGGACTTGGAATCATTGTTGCAGGAGGTAGATTGCTAAAGCTGCTCTACAAGTCAGCCTTTCATGAGCTCAGCAGTATTACTGTCTTTCAGTAGGATTTCTCATCCTGTTTCTCAGAAGTATCTTAGAAATTGACACAGTATTTGGCCAGCTAACCTACTATCTTTCATTGGAATAGAAATCTATTAGTAGCACGTGGATCATCCATTTCATTGCTTAGGTGACAGTTTTGAAGAGTACAGCTTCCTGCTGTGTTAAGCATATCATGTACAGGACAGACCTGCAAGCTGAGTTGCTTTACTTTGTCCCTCGATTGCAGCACTCCTCATGAGGTAGAAACATGCAGTAGTGGAAGCCTGGCTCACCTCTTTGACCACAATCATTATTGGAAATGGGCTTATTTTGGAATAAAATTAAAACTACTAATATTTTTTTCTAGTTTTTAACTTATATAAAAGCTGTCCTTGAGGTAATAGCTATAGACATGTCATTTGTGGTTCATTTCTGTTGAAATGATAGATTTGCAGTGTTTAACATTTTCCTAGTTTACTGTTAACTTGCTAACAGTCACCAAGGAAGAACCTTCTTTGCTGAATTTGGCAAAGATTTAGCCTTTTTTTCGGAAGAGGATCATATCCTGTGTTTTTACTTTATGTTCATTTGTTCTCATTTATTTTTTCAATTGTAAAGCTTTGAACACTCTAAATATCAGTTGACTGTTCTGTTAGTGCATGCTAATTTGTTGTTTTAAAAATCTGGTGACTTTTGCCAGGCAGTGGTGGCATATGCCTTTAATCCCAGCACTTGGGAGGCAGAGGCAGGTGGATCTCTGTGAGTTGGAGGTCAGCTTGCTCTACAGAGTGAGTTCCAGGACAGTCTGTTAAACAGAGAAACCCTGTCTCAAACAACAACAACAACAACAACAACAACAATCTGGTGATTTTTATATCTTTCTACCCACACTGCTCACTTCCTCTGTGCTTCAGAGATGGCTTGCACATAGAGAAACAAATATATATTCTTATTCTGTTTACATTTTTGAGGTATTCTTGACACCTGCATAATATATATACAGGCAAAAGTATATGTATTTGTGTACATGTGTGCATGCGTTTTGACACAAATCTTACCATTCCTATTACTTTTCCTTTTTTAAAAGTTAATGTTTCCAAGCTCCACCCAAGGATAGGTGTTCCAAAGGTGTTATTATTGAATTGATGTTTTACAGTTATGCTAACAAAGTTTATTCTGGGTGGCATGGCTACATTTTCTGCTTTATATAAAATAATGTTACAAAAAATTATTTATAGTTAGCTTATATTTGTATAAATTACTTTTCTAGGATCAACTCCTTGAAGTAGAATACCTTGGCGAAATGATAGGCATTTCTTTTTTGGTTTTTCGAGACCGGGTTTCTCCGTATAGTTTTGGTGCCTGTCCTGGATCTTGCTTTGTAGACCAGGCTGGCCTCGAACTCACAGAGATCTGCCTGGCTCTGCCTCCTGAGTGCTAGGATTAAAGGCGTGTGCCACCACCTGGCATGATAGGCATTTATAATTTTGGTGACCTTCCCAAGTATCAGCTGTTTCCTACCACCAATGTATGAAGGTGTGACCCCTAAAGGCTTATCTAGAGTGGGTTTTTATCAGCCTTTTTACTTCTGCCAACCTGGTAACGAGGAGATAGTTGGGCATTATGGCTGTATTTCTTTTCTCGTAAACACGATGGAATGTAGTTTTAGGTATTTAAGGTCTTTGAATTTTCATTTCTGCAAAGTGTCTGTTCATAGGTTTATTTACTTTTTAGTGATTTGTAGCAGTTTTGTTTCCCAATTAAAAACGGAACATGTTTAGTTTGTTGTAACTTTCAGATGTTTGGTTTTTGACTGTATGTATGAATGTCTGTATAATCAGTTAATTTTTTAATAACATGAATTTTGTGGCATATTTTAAAACTTATGTGTTAGAATGTTTCTTTTATTGGTCTATATTCAGTGGCTTTGTTTCAAGTTTTGTTATTTGTGGTATATATTAATAAGCTATTATTTCCACCACACTTTTTTAAATTTAGTGATGCCTAGCTATTTGTGGTTCTCCATTTCCTTGTGTGAAATTTAGAATCTGTTTATGTCTTCATTGTTGTGTGACACTATTCCTGGGAAGACTTAAACAAACGTTTACTCACCTCAGTTAGGGAACTGATGACAGACCAGAGTTTGGATAGGACCAAAGTCCACCTTGGTGAATCAGTGAGTTTTACTGGGGTTACATGCAAGAATGTAGCTGAGGCATTACTTTCAGGAGTAGAAATGAGGCAAACACAGGTGCGTCAGCACAAGCCTACCTCACTCAGCACAGTGGCAGTCCACGAAAGTTAGCAACCTGGAGCACACTGTACAGCCTGCAGGCGGATCAGCAGTTGCAGGCATCTTTTCCTTCGGAGTCAGTTGGTCTGAGCTTCTTCCAGCAGCTATGCTGGTCTTTGTTTCTTCTGGGCTCTTGGGCTGATCAGTTTCTTCCATGCTACTTTGTCTCAGCCTCTTGTAAGTAGCTCAGCTTTTCTCAGTTTTTCCCCAGCAGTCTACTGTTCTATACTATTAGGGAGGGAGAGGCCTGGGGATCTGCTCAGTTTCAGGGACTGATTGAAGCTCTTTTGATTTGTTTACTTCCTGTTTTAACCAGCTTTCCTGGAGGATGGAGTGTCTTTACCTCCTCTTAGGACATCCTTTGTTTCACCTTTCTGTAAACTGCTTTTGAGATTGGTTCTCCCTTCCACCATGTGGCTTCCAGGATTGAGCTCCAATTTTGAAGGGCAGTGGCAGTCACCCTTATGCACTGAGCTATCTTGACAGCCCTTTATATTAAGTACTCAAAAAATTCCCTTTAGAGTTTTACTCTGAAATTACCTGGCCTGTGAGAAAATTATAACCAAGTCTCACATCATGAATTTGACTTGAGTGACTATAGCCATCTTTATTGTCCTGTTGAAATTATTCAGGAGAGAAGTAGAATTCAGTGTTCTTTCTTTTAGCCTTGAGCATTTTCAGTAAAGAATGTAAGAAACTTGTCTGCAGTGCACTACTGTAATGTAACCCACTACGAAGAATTTAGGCAGCCCTGCAGAGATATTTTCTTTGTAATACTTAATCCACACTGCTTATCAATTTACACATTGTTCCATGAGCAAGGACACTAGGGAGTGGTTTCCATTGTCATCCTGTTTTTGGCATTTGAGTTCTCTGGGAGGGTGTCCTGGGAAGTACTTGGTACTTTGACACAGTGATGGCATTGGTAGTAGCCAGGTTGTTAGCCCCTTGACTAAGCCGGCCCGGTTCCTCTGGGCTGCGTTGCCCCTCATAGTCTTCCAGTTCTTATGTACTCTCCATATCTGTATACATTAGTATATCCCTGTGTTCAGAGAGTACAGGAGGCAATTACAGATGGCCAGGGGTCACAGTGTGATTGTCATTGGACTCCTGCTTCCTAGAATTCTCCTTAAAGGAGTCTTGGTGTTATAGTAAATTTCTTTTCTCTATAATAAATCAGTGAGCTTGAAAAAAGGTAAATATTCGAATCTGAGCTACCTTCAGAATCAGTTTTAAAACTTTACAGCTGCTTGCTTGATGCATGTCAGCATCTTGAGTTGGTTTGCATAGATGTACCAGGGATCCCTTCTGTTTTTTTTTTTTTTTTTCCTTGCTTGCTTATTTTGCCTTGGTGAAATCAACTGAAATTTACATTTTAAACAAGTGAAGTATCTTATGATTATTTCCTACAGATTTATTATTAATTAAGTCTCAAAGGTTTCTTTTATTTGTTGTCGCCCAGCTTTTCTTTGGTTTTACAGAAAACTCCCCAATTGACAGCTAAGTTTATTATGTCTCAAGAATGAGCCTGTGAAAGCCTTAGGTTAAATAAAAGTTTGTTTGGATGCCTTGTAGAAATCCTTAGAGGTTTCTATGAAATTAATAATTTGTGTGTATGAATGGTGTGCCATGGCACTACTGTGGAGGTTGGAGGACAGTTCAGGGAGTTAGTTCATTCTCGCCACCTTGAGGCATTTGGAGATGAAACTTAGGCTGCCCGGCCTCTGCGTAAGCACCTCTACCTGGTGAGCCATCTCCCTGGCCCCCTAGAGAGTTTCTGTGTTATTGAGTGCATATGATAAGAGACTCTTACCTAAGGTGTCTTGGATAACATAGCACTTAATTTTTTTTTCTTTCGTCATTATCAATAAAACTATGAATATCTATCCTGGATATTTGAAAAATGTGGCAAAGCTAAAAAGAGAAAAATGTGCCAGGTGGTAATGGCACACACCTTTAATCCCAGCGCTTGGGAGGCAGAGCCAGGCAGATCTCTGTGAGTTCGAGGCCAGCCTGGTCTACAGAGCAAGATACAGGACAGGCACCAAAACTACACAGAGAAACCTTGTCTCAAAACAAACAAACAAACAAAAATAAAACAAACAAACAAAAACAAAACAAAAAAACCACCCCCCCAAAAGAAAAATGCATAAAAATAAGCTTCTTTTTTAGATATGATATTTTTTAAAAAAATGGTGTGTATTTTCTGTATGTTGGAATGTGAGTGTATATATGCAGGTGCTGGTGTTGTCTAGAAGACAGTGTAGGATCCTCTGGAGCTGGAGTTCCTTTTGGTTGTGAGCTGCCTGACCTGAATGATGGCAACTGATCTCAGGTCCTCTGCAAGGGCAGGAAGGGCTCTCAACCTCTGAAGCACCTCTCCAGCTCCTAAGCTTCGCTTTTAAATTGGAAAAATATTGGGCATATTTTTAATAACCTTGCTTTATGCAACAGTACATAATAAGCCCATCTCTGTATCTTAGTTCTTGAGAATATGAGCTGTAATGGTTGCCTATCCACTAGTGCACAC